AATCCTGACTCCATTAAGTCTCTGGAGTCTTTCCTCCATATTATTCCAAAGAATTTCTAACATATATCTGAGTTTAATACAGGCTGCCACTGAGTCCGTATTTCAGTTGAACAACTGAAAAACCAGTAAAGCTGCTCCTCACTGTTGAGTTATGTCCTCAAAATAAGAATTTTTGATAATACATAAGAACCATATCAATAATTTCAGTTTATTCTAAAGAAATGTTTCTCCCTGCCTTAACATCCTGAGAACCTATTCCTACGCCTTCCTGCAAATGAAAATTAGCCAAATCCTATCATTCCAACTGCCTCCTCCCAGGATAGATTTTGTATTTGTTCTCCTGGGGCATGCTGCAATCTAATTCTCTTTGCAGATCTGATGGCACTGAAAGGGGAGAAGGCAGGCGTAAAGAGGATCGGCATCCCTTCGGAAGGTAACTACCTTGGTTGAGGTCATTATAGAATCTCAAGCAACAAAGGACTAATGCCATCTGAAAGGGAGAAGAGACTGTTTTTATGAACAGGCATATTCAAAGCAATTTAAAGATTCATGTTCTCAGGTTCATCCACATCTACCCAAATATCCCCATTCTGTTTCTTTAGGTCCCATCCTTTCATGATCAATGCCACAAATTTCACATAGGAAACCACTGAGACTGTGAACTCAAATTGTAATTCTGCAACCCAAAGGAGCAAACTTTGAATCTTGTTTTAAGGCATTTTACGTCTGCAGGTATGATATATAAAAGGGTCTCATGAGGGGTGGTCATAGAAGTTCTCTGCAACTTTTTCCTTGCCCTGAGCCAAGAATTTAAAATAAGAGCAAATACTCTTTCTGTAAGCTCTTCAGTGCAATAGGAAGCAACCCTTCCACTCAAGTTTTCTCTATTTCTCATTTGCACCACAATAGTGCAATGCAGCAGCCAGTCTGTCAAAGGCTTGTCTTCAATAGCTATTCTATCCTATGCGGCCATATGTGATCATTTAGCTATTTGCTTCATGGAAAACAGTATCCCATTTCCCAGTGGTCATGAAGTTACCACTGCCTATAAACAACTAAGTCAGATAACCAATCTCATATTATATTTAAAAGTCGATTTCTTGATCAAATTTTGGTACTGAATACTGCATTAGGTAAGGTTCATCACATGTAATAGATACCACTCAAGGTATTCAAGCAGAAAATCTTTAATTTAAAAGAGTAGATGCTTACAAAATTATTGGTAACTTGGAGGAATAAAAGTCAGGAGGCTATCCTTAGTCTTTAGCTTCAAATTCATTCAACCACATCTGTCATAAGTGCCATCACCATTAGCACTGTCTGTATTCATAAAATTGATGCCAAGATAGTGGAACATGTTATCCAACTGTTTCCAACACTTTTGTCTGTAGGTGCTCACTTACATAATTGTGCTACTACAGAAAGGTGACACCCACCTCCTTCAGCCTTTGTAAAATTTCACGAGTGCCTCACATTGACAAAACCTAAATTTACGAGGGGATCACATGGGAATCTGAGAAATATAATTTTTAGTTCCCCAAACTCTGTAATACTGAAGGAGGGGAGAATGAGAACATATCAAAGGGAAAGGAATGGATTCATAGTGCTCATAAACATCTAGTACACTAACCTAAAGATGATGCTTATTTCTGAAGTAGTTAATATTTAGAGTAGCCTTGAGAATGTAAACTCCAAATCTCAACCTTAATGATAAAGTAGAAATGTGTTACCCAAATTCATCTGGCTGCTGTTTTTCCTCATGAGTTCCCAAATTACTTTTATTTCTGGAGGAAAGATTAGGTACCACTTTACAAGGGCTGGCAGTAATAATTCAAGCATAACAAAAACAAATGTTGAATAAATACAGCTTTGAAGAGCAGCTTTTATTTTGTGATCATGTTTTATAACATTTTTACTGAGATCTGAAATCACAATATATTGGAAACCTAACTGTATTACGTACAACTGATAAATCCTAACTATATAATAAGCTTATAAACATTGTAAATGTATTTGATCCCCAGATTTATTAATTAGAACACAAGCCACACTCTCAGGTGAGGTGAGACTGTTGCTAACATAATGCTATCTATCGTACAAGATTCAATCTATCCACCCTCCAATTACCAAATAGCTAGCTAATCATTATTCTTGCAAGACTGGTTCTTAGAACAGCTTCCTCACAGGGAGGAGAAACTCAGTTGAAATATAATGCATCATGAATGACAAAGAAGGGATTTCAACTGGATGCTTTCCTTTTTCTCCATGGCAAATTCAAAGAAAATAAAATTTAACTGAGAAAAGGAACAATCTGACTGGCTTCTCTAAAATTACAGAAAAGGGATTCAGGAATACCTAAAGACTGACAAAGTACATGGAATATGTATATAGACTGATGAAATAGTTACTCTTTATAACAATCTTGTATTTAAATTGAGAAATAATAATTTCAAGATCCTATGTTTTTAGAAATAGCCATATTATCTACACCTTTCAAGATTTTTTTTGTATTTAGGATGGCTTTTAATTTGGACATATTGTGTATAGATGTTCAAAATCAACATGACCTTCTGATAGTTGCATTATAATTAGATATTAAGTGATGTGTTTCAGTGTGCACTTGCTCCCTCTGAAAGGAGATACTACTCTATGAACACATTCCCTGGGATAACCTCATGTATGAGAATGGAAAAAAAAATCAAAATCTAAGTTCAGTTTCTATTTAAGACCAGATGGGTCTCCAGGGAAGAAATGTAGGAAGAAAAATTTGCTCATGTATATTGATGTGTAAACATGTTTTATGTGGTAAATTGAAAAAGACAAGAAAAAAAAGAAAAGGAAAAAAACAACAGCCTAATTAAAAGAAAAAGAAGAAAGTTTAATTTCTCAAAGGAAACAGCAAAACCTACATTTCTAAGTCTGAAAGAACACCAAGAGGTGACTCATAGCATCCCCATTAATCATCTAAAGACAGCTCTGGATCCTCTTCTGCTAAGTCACAAGGCTCCTCCAGTGATACATTCTAAAATCTTACAATCTTCATGTGGCAGTGGTTCTATATATCAATTATTTTAAATTTAGGTTTCTTAATCTTCTCCAGGATTCACAGCCTGCTATGAAAACAAATTCAAAAGGATCTGTGCCTTTCAATTCACAGCTGTGCCTTCCCCTCTGTAATTTATAGGCAAACTAACTTCTAACACTTATATGATTTGTAGTATTTTGAAACAAAAATATTAGGTTGGTACAAAAAGAATACTACAAAAAAAGGAATCCATTTCTACTTCTCTTCCTTTTCACAAATATTCTTGTCATTCACAAGTTATCTGCCTAAAATACAAAAGACTAAGCATGGATTCTAAATTACACCACTCACAAGGACTTGCTTTCTAAGGTCACTTGCCAAAATTACTTGCACGCTGAGTGGCAGGTGACCAATCTCCTTCAGCAGGTTTTATGATTACTGCTCAGATACTGTGTGCCTGTGTACACAGCTCAGTATCACAGTCTCTCACCTCTGCTGCCCTATTTACCATCCAGAAAGACGCTGAAATCTGCCATCCAGGTCCATGCTGAGAAGGCCAGCCAGCACACATCCTGGATAGCTGTAGCTGTTTTTTTCTTAGTAAGCACAGTGTTATGAGTACAGCTGGCTGAGATTATGGCTATAACAAGGAAAGAACTGGGAGAGTGTGAACTCTCCAGTGTGGTGTCTCATTCTGAAGGTGACAGAGATTCAAAAGTTCTGCTCCAATAGTCAATATATAGCATCTGACTTGTATTGTCAAATAGATAATACAACAAAAATCACTTATACCTCTATGTTCTTTCTTATTTACAGGGTAGCTGAGTTGCATATATGAAACAAGCCTGTAAATTAAAATATTCCTAATAAACTAAAAACACTGCTAGATTCCATGTTCTAAAGTACAAACATAATGATCCATGTTAAAATATTTTTGAATACCTTGAAAGGATGCATAGCAAAAGAGAGAAAGAGAATGAATTAATAATATTAAAACTAAAACTAGTCATCAGTTAGTTTCCACCAGCATAACAATCAAGAGTAACAGACTTGGGAGGCCAAGGCAGGAGGATTGCTTAAGGCGAGTTCAAGACCAGCCTGGGGAACATAGTGAAATCACATTTCTACCAAAAAAAAAAAAAAAAAAAAAATTAAGAAAATTAGCTGGGGCGTGGTGGCACACGTCTATAGTTCCAGCTACTTGGGAGGCTGAAGTGGGAGGATCAATTGAGTCAGGGAAGTGGAGGCTGCAGTGGGCCATGACTGTGCCACTGCACTCCAGCCTGAGTGACAGAGGGAGTCCCTGTCTCAACAACAA